GTGTGTGTGTGGCGGGAAAAAATTCCCCGAGGGCGTGTGAAACCACCCGAAATATCTCCGAAACCCGAGTTTTTTTTTTTGAAATCGGAAAGAAATCATCGGTGGGAAATCACGAGACGAATCGATTGCAGCACTTTATTTTTGAATCGTACGGTTGGATTGTCTCCAAGAAACTAAGCAAAATACCCTCCGATATCCGGTTTTTTGCCCATAACTCCGTTATTTTTTGTCAAATTAGAAATCGGAAAAAAATCATCGGTGGCAAATCACGAGAACTGTCCAAATCCGGTCTCAGATTTTGTGTCTGCAAAAAACACCGCCCTCCAGAAAGTAAGCAAGATTTCTTGAATATCTGAACATATCGAGCGAAGGACGAAAAAAAAAAAAAAAACTCCGTACGAAGATGCGCCTTGAAACGTCGATTTACACGGTATTTTCAGATTTCGGAATAAGTACCCCCACCCCGAGAAAAGTGCACCTTTGTGCAGGGGAAAATATTGTGAATATTTGCCCGAACGGACCATANGGACCATACCAGATGGTAGATGTCTGGAAGGCGGAAAAACGAAATAAGAATCAGGATCCTACGAATAGTGGCTCAAGCGAGAATAAAAAAACAAAACAAGGGTTCACAAATGAATCCGAAGGACGAGGGATTGTTTCGCTTCCGGCAGCGCGGGAGGGGCTTGGGGGGGGTCACAGATGCATGCGACATTGAGCGGTGCACACACAGGGCTTTGCGGAGCGGCAGCGGGACTTGTAGCGCGATGGGGGGAAGAACGCAGAACAAGAGTGATAATGAAGAGGGGGGCATTCAATTGTGATACTTTGTTCCCCATCCCCCGCTCCCCTCGGCTGCGTTGCGGGGCCTTCCACTATGCAAGTCCCCCCCCCCCCCACCCCTGTGCAAACATGAATATAACATATAAATTAACATTAATATAACATGTAACATATAACATGTAACATATAACATTTCTATAACATGTAACATATAACATATAACGTATAACAATGATGACAGCGCAACAACAACTAAAACCACCCAAACCAACAGCGACAGCGACAGCGACAGCGACAGCGACAGCGACAGCGACAGCGACAACATATAAAATATAACATGTAACATTAATACAACAATGATGACAGCGACAACAACGAATAACAACAATACCACTATCGCCACCCAAACAAACAACGACAACAACCAATAACAACAACGTCGCCACCAGATCCGGAGCCCGAGCTTGGCGCGCAGGGGGGGGGAGGGGCGGGCGGCGAAGCGGCTGGGGCAGAGGTTGGCGTGCCGCACTTCTGGATGCAGTGCATGCTTCACCACGAGGCCCTGCACGATGTCATTTGGTGAGATGACTCTAGGGTTTCGTGGCAATCTTGGACCACCGAATATGTTTTGTAAAGCGTTTTGGTTGGATGTTGTGCCTGTTGCGAATTCAGAGCGTTTTTGACCCGCGTAGAACGCCGTGCATGTTGTACTCGTTGCTGATGATGATGCTAAGTTCGATGTTGTGTTTTTTGAGGATCTGTTTCAATTAATAGCATCCGATCTTCCATAGGCTGATAGCTCCGTTTGACTTTTGGCCTGGCGAGGTGGCGGGAGGGAGCGGGGGCATTGGCCAATGCTACAACAAGAACAAAACGGCAACAAATCGCACATTTACGTGTGGCCTCAAATGGTGCTGCTGCTTATAGGTACAATCGTCCTCTAGATCGCCGCCTCGGGATGAATTGGAACGAGTACACTACTGCACCACTCTGTTCGGAAATGCAGCATCATTTTTCGGATACTAAATATAAAACCATTGTGTTTGTCCCAGTGGTCCGTGCATTTCCGAACAGAGGTGCAGCATGATAGTGTTGCTGTTGCCGCTTCTGATGGTCTTGTGCTTGCTGGAGGAGAAGCTTTTCACCACGACTTCATTGGGGTACACCCACCCACCCCTAATGGCGATTTGCTGAAACCCTGTTTTTTCCTGGGTGGACTCTGTGTGTGAACGCTTCGGCAAAACAAAAAGGCAACAGCCGAAAGAACACACGCATTAAATCCTGTTTGTGTCTTGTTTTGCTGTTGCTGCTGCTGCTGTTGCTACTGCCGCTGCTCGCTGCTGTCGCTGCCGCTGCTGCTCTTTCGTGCAGCGAGCCAGACCTGGAGGCGCTGTACTACCTGTCGGACGTACGCTGCGTGGACAAGGACAACCTCCTCGGGTTCACCCTCGAGTTCCACTTCGACGATAACCCGTACTTCACGAACGCGGTGCTCACCAAGCGATACGACACTGCCAACATCATGGACCAGGTTAGGAGGGCGGTGTTTTTGTCTCTCTTGAAGGCAGCATGTTTTTTCCGGGCGGGTAGGGGGGNGGGGGGGGGGGGGGTGGTACTTGAGGAAATGTTGTGTATGACATTGCAGAGCGCCACGTGCCACGCCGTGTTTGGACGAAACGAAGTAGTGAACATGATGATGCATACGATCGGAGACACGCCATCACCAATGCGTACGCGAAGGCATAGCAAATCACAGAAAAATTCACAACGGCGTTTTTATTGTTATTGTCAGCGATATATGTATCCAGCGCCTTCTGGAACGCCTCGACTGGAACTTGTTGAATGAAAGATGGCACGCGGTATGTACGCGAAAACCATGGTAAAAACTAAATGTCGCCGTCAGGCAATCGCCCGAGGTAAACCTTCGTGCGAAAGAGTACAGAACAACGATTTCAGGTTTGGCAGTGAAATGTTCGGGCACGTTGATTCCCTCGTGTGATTATATTTAGAGGTCGAGGTTTACTTCCCGTCTTTGGGGTGCTACTACAGTAGCTGTATTTTTTTTTTTTTCTGTCCGGTGTTCAGGTGTCGTGCTGTGATTAAATGTCCTGCGTTTTATTGCCGCCAATACTTTTTTTTTTGCCTACTTTTATTAAACATGTCCTGTCCGCCTTGATTTTTTTTTTCCCACCAGGGAGAACCCCTTCTGGAAGGAGTCGAGGGAACGCCGATCGATTGGAAATCCGGGCGAAACCTGTGCGAGAAGACCATCAGGAGGAAGATCAAGAGAGGGGGCTCCAGGAGCGGAGAGACGAGAACCATCACCAAGGTACCGTGTGTACTGCATACCACGTTCATGACCCCTGATACCATCCCCCCTCCCTAACGACTACGGCTTGCACGACTATGAGTACCCCCCCCCCCCCCCCCCCCT